ATTACTCCAGTCTTCAGTGTCACATGATGCTTCAGAAATCATTATAATATGCTGATTTACTGCTTAATAAATATTTGTTATTACTATTAATGGTGAAAACAGTTCACCAACAGAAAACAGAAACATAATATTCATAATATTTTTCAGGATTCTTTGATGATTAGAAAGTTCAAAAGAACAGCATTTATTTAAAATAGTTTTAAATATATTATTTTATGTCACTTGATATATTAAATGAATCCTTGCCAAATAAAGTATTATTTTCTTTTAAAAAACAATTAAATTTTAAAAAAATATATTACATTTTTAAATATTTTATTATATTAATAATATCAAAACAGACAAAGTGGTGTCAGAGGAAAGGGAAATTAGTTTCAGGGGTGTTATTGCATGAGGAAAAATTATAAAGAAAATATATTGATGCACTTTGGAATAGAGTTTTGGGATGTTGATGATGAAACAGGCACAATAAGATAAGGAAAATTAATTAAAAAAAATTTATTGTTCACCTCATCCAGACAATTCTGTGTAATCTGTTTTGATATGATCTCTACTATACATTATCCTCACCTAAAATGTTCCCTTTTTCTCTTTTAGTGTGGAACTAGATTTTAAACTTCAAGAGGACAAACTTCAGCCCTTAATGAAGAGACTGTGTCCATTAGAAGAGCCGTCCTACCCCTCTCTGCCTTACACACACGAGGTGTTCACCTCCACACCCAAACGCAAGTCCAAGACTGAGACCAAGAAGCATGCGCGATGGAAACTCTGGTTCCTCTAACATATGGATTCAGGATCCCTGAAACCATCACAAACGAGCAAATTCTAGTGGAATTTTGCTTGACTAATTGGATAAATATGGAGAAATGCTCACTGCTAGCCACCGTTTTGGAACATGCATCACGGGATCCACTGAGCTACTGGATTTTAGTAAGGAATAACAGTTGTTTTCTAATCATGACCCTCTGATGAACCCTCTGAGTTTGGGAACTGCTGAATTCACCTGATCTCACATTTTTCAATGGGATTACACAATGATCCTTAGGTTTAGTCAAGTTAGCAAGGTAAGCGAGCAGGGATGATTGTTGGTGTGCTGTGTGTGTGTGTGTGTTTTTTCCAGTGTCTAACTGAGATCTCTCTCTTCTTTCTACATTTATCCCATTTTACATTAGGGACCCTGCAGAGGCGACAAGAAACTTCAAAGCTAAACGCTAGTTTGCCACAAAACTACTTTGGAGTCGTACATCAAAGACATCTAATCAGCAAAGCACAAACTTTTGAGAATTATAAAGTAGATTAGATAGCTGAGATATACCTCTGTCTGTTTCTCAGTCTTTCTTTCTTTCTTTCTTTCTCAAAGTCTCTCACCTCTTCAATTTTAAATGAAAACTGATTATCATTCTATGACAGAATAAATGAAATGAATGAAATGAAATGAGTGAGTAAATGCAGAATCAGATGACTGCATGCACTAATAATCAATAACTTTGTAGAGATATTTTTCTGGAAAATGTTGAGAATGCACAATTAGAAATGGTTAGGTTGTAAAAAGGGTTTACACACTGGTGTTCTAAAAAAAAAAGTAAATAATAATAATAATAATTTATGAAAATACAGTGATTTGTCTTTCAATTATATAGATTTCTGCTTCAAATAATGGGCCATCAATATTTCTGGAATAAGAAAAACTTTTTCGATGTGCAGATGTTCAGGTCTGAAACTATTTTCTTGGGAATATGATGCTGTATCTACAACATACTGTAAACCTAGGTCAATTTTTCAGTAAATATATTTTTCAGACTCATAAAGATGCTTGAGAATTGGCTGGAGATTACAGACAATATGCTCCATGGTGGAAAAAAATATGAGAACACCTCAAATCTGTTTAGATGATCATTGTTTCGTGTTATAGGTTGGACAGTGCACAAATACAGAACACAAAACAATAGAAATAGGCTCTATCCTATAAAACACACCACTCTGTTCAAGCTCACGTGTCATTTGCTCAATTAAATTTGAATATGATGGCAGTCAATCACCGAAATCTTTTGCTTGTTTACCCACCTAAAGCAAAGTAATGAAACGATCACAACACACAAATTGGGGAGTATAATAATGCAGGTAACATAGAGGGCTATGTATATACAAACTGTGCTTAGAATTTTATTCGCTTCAGAGAGTCTTTGTGTTAGATATTCACAAGTTTAATATCGTCACTACAGTGCCAAACACTGTATTTAGCTGGTAGCCCAAGAACCTTCATACTTGGTGTTTTTGATAACTATAGGCTAAATATTTAAAAGTAATAATATGTTCAAACAACAACAACAAAAAAATCTTGGTCACAGTATATTGTTTAATTGGAGCACAGTACCTGCATAATCTTGTAGCATAACACAAATGCATCATTATACCTTGAGAAAGTGCAATTGATTTATATTGTGCAATATTACATTTTATACAATTTCTACCCACAGTGCATTTATAATAAAGAAACCGATGCAAAATATTATGACTCGACTGTCCTGTTCCCATGAACGTTCTTTAGTGTCAGACCAAAGGAGTGTGGGTTGCTTTGGAATTCTTGCAAAGTGCATTGCGGTGGTGATACTCAATTCATGAAGATGATTGAATAGTGCTTTGAACAGGACTCAGCTGGAGGATGAGATGGTTGCAACACTTCTCTCTAAAATGGATTGGCTTCAGCTTTGGTGCACACTCCACAGACGTGCTCTGTGATTGGACGGCCTCCAGTAGAACACCTGCTGCCAAGATACTGTCAGTCACTTTGACTCAAGGGATGAAATATTCCTCTGAACTCTTTCTGCAAACATAACTAATGTAAACATGACGAATGTAATTCTGCTGACCCATCGTAGGGATATGACTACGAACTAATCTCTCCAGACTTTGCCTGCACTTATTCTCTGATCATATATTAATATTGATAACAGTTGCTACTTAAGCTGATGAGCACAGCACATGGAAGTCGTGAACAAAATGACACTGAAAACTGATTGCAGGTTTGTGTCCTTGCAATCTTTCCAAACAGATTGATAGAGGAGTCTTGATTTTTTTTATGTATATATATGTGACCCTGGACCACAAAACCAGTCTTAAGTCGCTTGGGTATATTTTTAGCAATAGCCAAAAAAACATTGTGTGGGTCAAAATGATTGATTTTTCTTTTATGTCAAAAATCATTAGGATATTAAGTAAAGATCATGTTCCATGAAGATATTTTGTAAATTTCCTACCATAAATATATCGAAACTTAATTTTTGATTAGTAATATGCATTGCTAAGAACTTCATTTGGACAACTTTAAAGGCGATTTTCTCAGTATTTAGATTTTTTTTGCACCCTCAGATTCCAGATTTTCAAATAGTTGTATTTCGGCCAAATATTGTCCTATCCTAACAAACTATACATCAACGGAAAGCTATTTTACCAGTGAGCAGATAACTGGATCTAATTTCAAAGAGGTTTGTGCTGAGGATAAATCTTATATAGCATATGGAGTGACTGTAATCTTCCCAATAGTTGCTCATGCTTTGAGCGTCTCCTGTGTCCGACAAAATCCATAGTTCGCCACTGGCCTTTAAAAAGAAAGATTTATCTGTGAAAAGTTGTCTAGCTTTGCTCCCATGACCTCAGAATAATAACTGTAGACTGTCGAATAATTGTAAGCCATAGAATAACATCTCAATATAATATAAACCAGGGAGTTTTCGAACAAATTAGAGAAAAACAATTTTTTTTGTGTGTGTATTGTCAAAAGATAATTTAAGATACTAATTAAATATGTTTAAAAACATTTTTCTATTTTATTTTGCTTTATAAAAAGGTTGAAAATCATTATATTAATCACATTTTATTCTATTGACAGTCCTAGTTTTTACAGTAAACATTAAAAAAAATCCCTAAAGGAAATTATCTCTAGATAATATTTTAATAATTTGTTTTGGCGTTAGAACAGAGACAATATAAAAACCAATAGGTTGTTTGCAATCACGTGATTCTGATGACGCGCGAAATGCAGCTGGTGTGGCGTTTAGCACAGTGAATTCTGACTGTCACAATGGGTGCGTGAGAGGTGGCAGCCCAATCTATTTATATCTTTATAAATATCCAGCTGCATTTCGCGCGTCATCAGTGACGTCATGTGCAAACAACCTATTATATAAATTAGGAAACATCATGTTGTCTTTATAATATTAGGCATATTATTAATTAAATTTTATATTATACATTCAACATACTTTAAATTTAACATTAAATTGTAGCTGAATTTTAACATCTGATCTTAATATTTTACTCTGTATAGTAAGTTTTTTTATAAGAAGTGACTGTGTATACTTTCCATATTCCATATTTTTAAACTCTCTAAATATGGGCATGTTAAGGGCAGTTGTAAAGAAAACAGCATCCTCACAACATTTGCAATGGCTGTTGAGACCCAGACTGTCTGCAATACTGAGGGAAAACACTTATATGAGGTGTAGCCAGGGTCAGCCTCAGTGATTTTGCCTACATCGGCAAACAGAAAACAACATAAAAATGGGAGCGAGAGGGAACAGCATAAATGAAATGCACAGTAAACACAGTCTCGCACACAGCAGGAACAGGTTGAGCATTTCTACACCGAATGGCTCAAAGCACCTTCCGTTAATAAATTAAGCTTTGCATTAGGAGTAATTACAACTGCAAGAGAGGAGAGAGAGACAGAGAGAGAGAGAGAGAGAGAGAGAGTGAGATAGTCAGCAAAAGCCGGATGGGCTTGTCGACAACCGGTTTGGGCTAAATTTTAATCTCCATCCCGCACTGCTTTAAAAATTCAAGGTTTCCTAAGAGCTCATTAATAAATGATAGAGGACTTGAGCTTAGCGGGCTTTAAAAGTAAGCAGCCGGGGCTCGTGCCCCCAACCCTTCAAATGTTTATGAGGACACTGACTCAGCAGTGGACTTAGCGAGGCCTGTAGAACTTCTGTGACAACAGAAGGTTGAGGAGCTTTAATGGAAATTACAGCCTAAGGTCAATGTATGTATGAACTAGAGCCACTTGTAAAATGCTTACTCTGCATCGGTGTCATGTGGGCCGTTTTTGATGGTAAGACGCCACTGAATACACAAAAATTGGAAGAGATGGGTGGAGTAAGCAGTTGCTCATTATCATTTAAAGAGACATGCACCGAAACGGGTCGCTGTATATAGAGCTGTTTTTGACAAGGTAAAAAGGGTGTTGATTTACATGACCATTTAGGAATTTTAGGGTGTGTTCACACTTGTAGTTCAGTTCGTTTGGTTAATTTGGTCCGGACCAAAAAGGAAAATGATACATTTGGTCCTGGTCCACTTAGTGTTCACATTGGCATTTTTGGCAGCGAACCAAAAGACACAGAACCTAAGGGCATAGTGATACGTTCACAACCTGATTGGTGGGCTTGAATGATGTATATATCGTGACTGAACTCACCGAACACCCCAAACAAAAGGTGCTTAAAGACTTAAAGCGGCGCTGCGGGTGTATGATATCAAAGCATCCATTAACCGATCGGTCTGCTCAGTGCCGCTGAGTCGAACACACCTAATGCCGTCTGCTGGACTAAGCGCGTTCATTCTTGCGTGTACATATAATTTTATTTTCACCACCTGCAAACTCACAAGGAGCTCATAGAAGGCACTTTACCTCATTGTTGCGCCACGTTTGCCCTCTGCTCATTTTGTTTTGGTTACACCGCATCGTCAAATCATGTCGCATAGTGTCGCATCTTGTCATTACTTCCTGTTTACTTCTGTTTTCTATACTTCGTTTAGAAGTATTTGGTCCGTGTTGCGTTCATATATCATTCGAATCGCACCAGAGTTCGTTTGGAAGCGTTCACACTTACTCAAATGAACCGCACTAACAGAGCAATCACACCAGGGTTCGTTTTAATCGAACCAAACATGACAAGTGTGAACGCACCCTTAAGTATGTTGCATACATTTCATGAAGACCCAAAAGAATCATACCAACTTGGGCATCCAATGTCCCCTTTAAAAAACTGCGGAATATATAGTGCTGAATCTGAACCTGCCCTTAAAGCCTGTTCACACAAGACATGTTTTTGCATTTAAATATGTAGTGGAATAGAAAAACACAAAGACTTATAAAAGTTGTTTTATAAAATATAAATTTTATAAAAACTTATTTTAACTAGAGCACCACATTTGTAGAATACAGAATTCTGCAAGAGAGCACCACATCAGCCCAGTGCGTTAACATAGAAAAACAAT